TGCCCGTTGCTGGTTGGCTAACTAGCAACAGGGTCTTGCCAGCCAATGGAATTGTGTGATTACAAGCCAGGGGAATCCCATAAAAGAGGGCTCCCCTGGCCCAGAGAGCCAGTCCGGATTTACTTTATGCCTTGCCAATAAACCAAGAGCTGACTGTCACTCGACTCGTGTCTTACTGCCTGCGCGATCTAACAATAATGATAATGAAGTTGGAAGGTACCTTGGAGGTCATCTAGTCCAACCCCCTGCTCAGGCAGGAAACCCTATACCATTTCAGACAAATGGCTGTCCAGTCTCTTCTTAAAGACTTCCAGTGTTGGAGCATTCACCACTTCTGGAGGCAGGTTGTTCCACTGGTTAATTGTTCTAACTGTCAGGAAGTTTCTCCTTAGTTCTAGGTTGCTTCTCTCCTTGATTAATTTCCATCTGTTGCTTCTCGTCCTGCCTTCAGGTGCTTTGGACAATGGCTTGACTCCCTCTTCTTTGTGGCAGCCCTGAGATATTGGAACACTGTTATCATGTCCCCCCTCGTCCTTCTCTTCCTTAAACTAGACATACCCAATTCCAGCAACCGTTCCTTGTATGTTTTAGCCTCCAGTCCCCTAATCATCTTTGTTGTTCTTCTCTGTACTCTTTCTAGAGTCTCAACATCTTTTTTACATCGTGGTGACCAAAACTGGATGCAGTATTCCAAGTGTGGCCTTACCAAGGCATTGTAAAGTGGTATTAACACTTCACGTGGTCTTGATTCTATCTCTCTGTTAATGCAGCCCAGCACTGTGTTGGCTTTTTGGGCAGTATGCTCAATAGTCACGTGATCAAAATTCGGACACTTGACAACCGGCATATATTTATGACGGTAGCAGTAATCCCCTTTTCCAACCATCTAACAAGCAAAGCCAATGGGGAAGCCAGATTCACTTAACCACCGTGGTACTAACTTAACAATTGCAGTGATTCACTTAACAAATGTGACAAGAAAAAAGTCATAAAATGGGACAAAAGCCACTTAACAAATTTCTCGCTTGGCAACATAAACTTTGCACTCAATTGCCGTCGTAAGTTGAGGACNGCCCGGCAAGAAGGAAACACAAGAAAGTTTGTAACCCTAGGTGTATCTTTGCAAGCTATTAGGGCATGTTCTGTTCTGCCTGTTATCCCAGCGATTTCATTTTGCTGCCAAAACCTGTCCTGTATCTTCAGGAGGTCTGTCAGTGGGTGCTCAGGGCTGGTTTTTTGGCCTACGTGAATTACCGATTGCAAACGTCTTCGATTGCCCGTCCTTTCTGTAGAGCAAAAATGGAGAGGATCACAGCTCCTTCTAAGAACAGCTTTCTGTCTGGCTAAGCCCTTGATGGAGCCTCTGGGGAAAACACTGGCTTTTTCCCACCCTGCCTCTCTGTGTGTAAAGAAAGCATCCCACCAAAACCGAAGAAGAGCGGCTGGGGGAGTGAACAAAGCCGAGAAGGGGAGGAAGGATATGCTATTCTTGGTACCTTTATGAGAAAGCTTGGTGCAAGACACAACAAGTACATTCCTGCCTAACTCCGCCAGGCTCCCAGGGAACCGGTTGAGGCTGGGCACAAATGACGCCTTTGTCCTCACGGGTCCCAAAAAGCAGGCGGTGCTCTGCTTTTCAGGGCCTCTGAGGGGGGAATCCCTTGGCCTTCAGACCATGACCTCTTGCCCAAAACACAAGACTGAGGCCTTGACCTTGTTTGGCGGTGTAATTACCCAACAGTGAGTTGCTCTCTAAACAGTTTGGTGTTCAGACTCCCTACCTACAGGTGGTCCTTGATTGACAGCCACCATCTAAACCCAACATTTCTGTTTGCTGAGCGAAACAGTTGTTAAGTGACCTTTGTCCCATTTTACAACCTTTCTTGCCACAGTCGTTAAGTGAATCACTGCAGCTGTTCAGTGAGTAACACCGTGGTTAGGTGAATCGGGCTTTCCCATTGTCTTTGCTTGTCAGAAAGTCGCAGATCACATGACCCCGGGGACATGGCAACCATGGTAAATATGAGTCAGTTGCCACGTGTCCGAAATTTGATCATGTGACCATGGAAATTCTGCAATGGTCATAAGTGTGGAAAATGGTCATAAGTCACTTTTTTTCAGTGCCGTTGTACCTTCGAACGGTCACTAAACAAACCGTTGTAAGTTGAGGACTATCTGTATCCCAAAGTCTGAAGAGATTTCTGGTAAACTTGGCAGGACAGCGAGCCTGAATCCTTCCTTCAGGATATCATGGATCCCCAAATTGGTCAGGTTTTAGGCTGCCCTCCCTGCCCCCTCCCCTCATGATTTCTCCTTGGCTTCCTGGCATCTGTCTGAAGCCTCCAAAGTCTGGTGAGGCCTGTTTAGGAATGAAGCCAGGGGCCTGTTTTGCTCTCGTCTCCTCAATGGGGGATTCCTCCGTCTTTCACTCCTTTCAGACAGCCAACGCCGGGCCTGTGCCTGGAGCGGAGCAGACAGACTTTGTGTGCCGTGGAGCAGAAAGAATAGACTGCGACATTCCCGTAGCTTAGAGACCGTTAGTCCCTTTCAAAGTCCCAGCTCCATTTGAATGTAACTCAGCCTCCAGCTCTGCTTTGCCCTCATGGAGAGCGGCGGGTGGGAAGAGCCGGATTATTTTTACTCATCGGCAGTTGAGTTTGCACGGCAGAGTTCTCACGCTGTCCGGACAACGGGGAATTAGGACATTTCGGCCGGACAAGTGGAAAGTTCCTTATTGGAGAAGGAGAGGGAAGAATTGCTTCGGCTCTTCTCTAAATCCTGGTGGCCAGAGGAGCAGACGAAACAACAGGTGAGAGGGCCACGGTGGCCCTCATGAAGTGAGTATGAGAAGATCCTGGAGGGGGAGGCAGCCAGGATGGTAGAAGGACCACACGCTTCTCTGGCTGGCACCATGGGGTAGGCTTATTCCGCCCCACAGTGATTTCCCTCCTGGTCAATTTATTCCCAGGCTAGAAAGAGTAACATTTTAATGCTAACGTGGTTGTTTGGGATGTTTATTTTGCAAAGTGTGTGTATCGGATGAGAATGGCATATTATCTAGAGCTAGATTTTTCCAATGTCATTGTTACAGGGTGGTTCATATGGTGTGAGAAATATAGGCTGAGATCTGTGGCTCACCCAGAAAAAAGGACGACTGATAACTTTTCATCCATGCACAAACTCTCCCATAAGTTCTTACACTGTGTTTCCTTCTCATACCCTTCCTTCCTTCCCTCCCTCCCTTTCTCTGTCTCATCCTTCCTTCCTTCCTTCTTTCCTTCCTTCTCTTTCTTTCTTTCTTTCTTTCTTTCTTTCTTTCTTTCTTTCTTTCTTTCTTTCTTTCTTTCTTTTTTCTTTTTTCTTTTTTCTTTTTTCTTTTTTCTTTTTTCTTTTCTTTTCTTTTCTTACTTCCATCCATCTGCAGTTCTGGACCCTTCTCTTTCTTTTTCCTTTGGCACATAAAATTTATCTTCATTTTTCTCCCTGAGCAGACCTACTGTATATACTAATTTACGGGCACGTCTCTCTAAAGAGTTGAGGTGATCGGCAACTGAAATAAAATCGTTTCAGTTCAGTCTAAATAGATGCGCATTTTAATTTTTCTGAATGAGAAAAAAAACCCCAAACCACATATTCTTTGCTACTTTACTCGTGGTTGCCCTGAAAATCCTACTGTGAGCTTTTTCCATCATGTGCTGCCTCTATGAGCTACTATCCCCCTCCCCCCACCAAATAATACAGAGTATAGGTAACTCAGGGCTGAGCTCCCCCCCCAAATGTGAAGAAGGAAGGAAGGAAATTTTTTAAAAACTCCTAGAAAAAATCTCTCTCTCTCTCTCTCTCTCTCTCTCTCTCTCTCTCTCTCTCTCTCTCTCTCTCTCTTTCTCTCTCTCTCTCTCTCTCTCTCTCTTTTTGCCTTCAGAGGATTTTTTTTTTAGAATTGGCTAAGCACTGGCTGATGATACTGCAAACTGTAGACCAAAATTGAATTTTCCTTTGCAAAACTGAATTCTAATATTTGTATACTACATTTTATTTCCTCCTATTTTGCTAAATGGTAAAAACTAAGAAGAAGATAACCCAAAAAACATTAACAAGAGGAGAAATTTGCATCTTTTCCTCCATTTGGATGTTATGAAACAAAAGCTTATTTTGCTATCTTAGGTGTGCGTAACTTGTGCATAAACTTCACTGAACAGATTGGATCTCTTGAGTAAACACGCTTAGAATTGCTGTTTTAATTTAATAAACACGTCATGTAGTACACCAGGGATGTCAAACTGCCGGCCCAAGGGCCGGATGCGTCATGCCAAAAATGCGCCCACCCCATTGCTAGCAATGGAAAAAAGGTCGCGATACATCGCGACACATCATGTGACGTTGCGAGTTTGATACCTCTGTAGTAAACTCTTATATGCCTTCATAAAGCATAAATGTTGTGCTGTATTTCATGCAGTTAAAAGTTTTAAATGAATTTTTATTTAACAACAAAATGAATACATACTGTATGTGCCGTTCTTCTCTATAATTTTTGCCAGGAAAGGAAAATTTGACCCAAATATTCTAAATTTATGTATTCATCTATTTATGAATTAAAGGTATATGTTGCCCATCTCACTGTCAAGTGACTCTGTATGGCTTAAAAATTTCCTTAATTAGTTTAATTAGTTATTAATTAATAAACTGAATTCCAGCTCTTCCGCCATTATATAAGCCCCTGTCCCTACACCTTTCTTAGATATGGCAGACAGGAAAAGTCAGGATTTTAATTTTCTGCCTTTTTTTTTTTTAAACCTGCAGGTTGAAATGTTGAAATTCTCTGCCATGCCAGTGGTACTGCTCTACTACTTGATTCTCTGGGGTAAGTGTTGACACAGGGCACGTCCTTGTTGATCTGGACTAAATGCTAAAAGCATATATTTTGTGAATGAGCTGTCTTGACATCTGCTTGCTACTTATGCCATAGGTCAGGGCTCTCCAAATTTGGCGGCTTTAAGACTTGTGGACTTCAACTCCCAGAATTCCTCACCCAGAATTCTGGGAATTGAAGTTCACAAGTCTTAAAGTTGCCAAGTTTGGAAACCCCTGCCCTAGGTGGATGCAATTAGTTGGTCGCACACTAAGCTTGTGAATGGGTAAGCTTGCCAAATTTCTCCTAGCTTTGGGGCACACCTGTTGCTTGCCGAAAAGAAGCCATTTGGGACAGGGGTTGTTTGTGTATCTGGAGTGGCAGCAGGGACAAGATGGGAAGCTTGAATCCTTCCTTTTTTGCAGGATTACTGGATTACTGGTCTGTTTAGATTCTGGACAATTTTCCTTTTGCCTGAATTGCACTGGTTGTCAGTCTGCTTCCAGGTACAATTCAAGGTGCCCTGGTTTATCACCTTTAAAGCCCCACACGGTTGGAGCCAGGCTATCTGAAACAATGCCAGTCCCCTATTATATCCACTTGGCCCACCAGGATGGGAAGGAAGGGTATGTTACAGGTCCTATCAATTAGGCATTCTTATCTAGTAGAGCAGGGGTCTTCAAACTTGGCCCTTTTATGACTTGTGGACTTCAACTCCCAGAATTCCTCAGCTAGCATGCCTGGCTGAGGAATTCTGGCAGTTGAAGACCACAAGTCATAAAAGGGCCAAGTTTGAAGACCCCTGTAGTAGAGCCATGAAAAGGGGCCTTCTCAGAAGTGGCCCTTTCTCTATGGAACATCATTCCTCCCAGGGTATGTTTGGCCCCCACCCTATTCCTTTTCTGAAAGGCCCTAAAAATGTGGTTTTCTGAGTGGGTCTGGGAACCACAACTGGAGATGGAGCTGATTAAGTTACTGATCTGATTATGTTGTTGCTGCCATGGGGTGGGGTGGGGGTTGGATTTTCATTATGCATTGTATTTTAAAATATTGTGAGCCAGCCAGAATCATCTCTGTGTGGATTAATAATAAACAAACAAACAAACAAATAAATGCATGGGCCTAGTTCTGTTTTCTGGAAAGTAAATCTAGGGATGCAGTGAAGATTTCATTAGTAAATATACTCAGAATCATTGTTGTAAATTGGAAGAACACACTCTACAATCTTGAGTTCCACTCAATTATGGATCCTTGATTAGTTCTAATGATCAGTATAGATATAGATTAGTTCTATATTTGATATGTATGTAGAAAACTCTAAATCCAGTCTAACTGATTCTAACTAATTCATCTCAATATTGGAAAGAGTCACTATCAGTCAGAATAGATATGAAAAACTGATTTAGCTGATTGCGGCTCAACTCCTGTTAGTGCAGCTCAACTCATGTCATGCTGAATTTCAGATTTAATTAGTTATTAATTAATAAACTGAATTCCAGCTCTTCTGCCATTATATAAGCCTCTGTCCCTAACCCTTTCTTAGATATAGCAGACAGGAAAAGTCAGGATTTTGATTTTCTGCTTCTGAGGATGGATAGTCCCATGCATTGAGGTCTAAGAGTAAAAATGTTGGACTGATACAAAGCCTTGGGCAAATCATCTTCAAATGCACGTATCTGATCCATACATTTCAATGATTATTCGTATGATTTAGCATCGTGTGTACTGTATAATGAATTTGGTGGCATGGATAAGGCGCCAGGCTAGAAACTGGGATGTGGTGAGTTCTAGCCCTGCCTTAGACACAAAGATAGCTTAGTCACTCTCTTCTTCTAGGAAGGAGGAGGCAAGGGCAAACTTCCAAAATCTGACTCAAAGGCAAAAAAAAACAAAATCCCAACCCTGTTGTTGTCATAGTACAAATAAAAATATATGTGCATGCTTGTGCGGTTGTAAAAACAGACGCACACACGTATACCTAAGCCAGAGAGATAAAGGTAGCTTAAGAAGAGGATTTTACTTTGTATAGCCTACTCTACAAATCACAGCGGAACAAAATCCCAGAGCTGGGAACCAGGAAGGGTTAAAAAAAAAAGAGACCTGTATGAAAAGATACACTCTTGATGGCAACATCTTGCTCCACAGAGTGGCTTGCCAAGGTTTCTATGTCGTCCATAGGACAAAGCATTTTCTGTCTGATTGTAACTCATATATCTCTGCCAGTTTTCCGACTCATTCAGTCAGGCCTTGCATGTAATGACACGCCTTGATCATCCTGTGTACCACTCATGCCCTGGGGGCCCATTACTAGTCCAACTAGGTCACAACAAGCATTGGTAGTAGTATAGTCAGGTTCTGAGAGCAGCTGGCACTATGCCACATCTATCTACAGCTGCACAGGAACTCTCAAATGCCGACAGTAAACTCTGGTGGGTCGAGCCTAAAATGTAGCAATAGCAATAGCACTTAGACTTATATACTGCTCTATAGTGCTTTACAGCACTCTCTAAGTGGTTTATATATTGCCCCCAACAATCTGGGTCCTCATTTTACCGACCTCACAAGGATGGAAGGCTGAGTCAACCTTGAGCTGGTCAGGATCGAACTCCTGGCAGTGGGCAGAGTTAGCCTGCGATACTGCATTTTAACCACAGCACCACCACGGCTCAGAGGAGATTGGGCCAAGATCTGGCTAAAAACTCTACCCATCATTCTTGCGATGTGTCCAATATACTCTGCATATTGTTAGAATCATATTTTTAAATAATAATAATAATAATAATAATAATAATAATAATAATAATAATAATAATAATAATAATAATAATAATAATAATAATAATAATAATAATAATAATAATAATAATAATAATAATAATAATAATAATTGTTTCCTAAGTTTTAAGGCAGGATCTTGGGAACTCTGCTGGTAATTCTAATACAATGTTCCTTGATCATTTAATGATTCCCATGTCTCATATTCTAATGCTTTTCTGAGAAAGTATGATGTGGCATTCTGTAACAGCATCCGTCTTTCCCAGAGAGATATATCACAAATTGCTTTCAACAGTGAAGCTTAACCCTCAGATATATAAAGTAAAAAAATAAGGAAGCAATTGAATATGTAAAATGTCTCCCCTCTGAATAATTGCAAGCCATCCAATATATCTAGAATGACATTTTTTTTATTGCCCTTCTGAAATTGACACTGATAGCAATTATTGTTAGCTGGATTTTTATCCTCCAGAAGCTCAACACATTTTAATTTACGATCCCATCCTCCCTCTACATTCTGGACAGAGAGGACCTCTGGTTTGAAAAAGAGGTAAAAGAGGCCATCTGTGTTAAAACTGAACAGTCCTCACTCAACAGAGATGGGGGGAAACAACACCTTCAAAGTGCTAACAACCAGATGATAGCAAGCAATAAGAATCCTTCCATTCCCCATCATTCAGTCAGAACTGAAGATGCTTTTTGGATGAGGAGTGAAACATCAAGAAAAAGCAAAGGAAGTCCAAAGGAAGTGCCTTTTGAAAAAGCACTTTTGGGACAACCATGACCTGGATGGTTGACAATCTCCGTAGACATTCACACAATAATAATTCAGTGAAGTAGGTTGAACGCAGAAATAGTAACTCAGGCAAAGGACCCTACAAACTTCCATAGCTGAGTGAAGACGTAAATGGGATCTTCCTGGTCCTAGCAGAACCCCTTAACACAGTGGTTCTCAACCTGTGGGTCGGGACCCCATTTGGGGTCGATCGACCATTTCATGGGGGTCGCCAAGCAAGGCTGTCCGCCATTTTTTTGTCCGCCATTTTTTTTGTCCGCCATTTTTTCCCCTTTTCCAGCGGGTGCCTTACCTCCCTTGGGCTGGGCCAGCTGGTGGTCGGCCTGCTCCATCTCTGCCGCTTGCCAGCTACGCCTCGGCCGGCGCAGGGGGCGGAACCACGCATGTGCGGCACTCCCGGGCAGGGAAAGTCCTCGACTTACAACCGGTTGGGTAGTCCTCGACTTACGACCGGTTTAGTCCTCGACTTACGATCGGTTTAGTCCTCGACTTATGACCAGTTTAGTCCTCGACTTACGACCGGTTGGAGTCGCGGCATTAAAAAGGTTGAGAACCACTGCCTTAACATTACACTACACTTTGTTGAATTTTCTCCCCATCTTTCTCAAGAATGCAAAGATGGATGGATGCAAAGAAACCTTGCCTCTATTTGAGATCCATGGAAAGGCATTCCTTAACAGGTGTGGCTTCCAAGCATTTTGGCCTCCTACTTTCTTAGAAATCACCTCTCCTGAATGCCCAGGTGTGGCCCTTTGGAATGCGTGAGGTTTGTCTCTGGCTGGGCAGACACATTGTGTGAGTTAATGATTGGCAAAGATTTAGAGGTGGGAGGTTAGCTATTAATAAAAAAAAAGCAGAAGGCAAAGAACAGGTTGAGTTGTGAAGCTGGAGATGGAGCACTAAGCTCTAAACAGCTGGTGGAAGGAGGCCCATGAGCATGGGCGACACTCCGACACCCCTATGACCTACTTTCCTTGTACTAAATTCCCATGTGAAAATTCAAGCAGCAATCACAACGTGACTCGGAATTGTTCATCCCACCTTTGTGATAGGAAATAATACTGGAAACCTCCCTAGTCTCTCTGCCTGGATCAGAAATGGATGGCATTATAAATAATGTGTTATCAAACTCCTCCTGCACATAACAGTACGGTACTGATCTGCTCGGGCTTCCTCCTTCCAACTGACAGGATTGACAGGAACCGAGGCAGGCTTGGACCTCCTCTCCCAAGGCAGACATCATTTGTGCCTGAGAGTTGCAGTCTTGAATATGTGACGGTCCCTTTTTCAGGTCCTCTTGGTAAGCTGGAGAGTCACAAGAGGAGAAGGATTATTATTATTATTATTATTATTATTATTATTATTATTATTATTTGCTTCTAAAGGAGTTCTTGAGTGAGTAAAAAAGAGACTGCACCAAAGCTTGTTTTTATGTTCGGAG